ATTTTTAAACCAAACAATAGCAGGATGTTTTTTTTTTACTATTTTGGGTTTTTTCACCCCACAAAAATGATGATATTTTTTTTTTTTTTTTTTCCCCCCCCCCCCCCCCCCTCTATAAAATATTTTATGTTATGTTAAACAAAGAATCTGCTTGAAGTGGCCTAATTTGCTGTAAAAAATTCTTACCAACTATTGTAGATTTATGTTGCTAATGTATGTAGGACATCAAACCCAAACATGTTTGCAAACTTCGGGCCAAACTTGAACCAAACATAAAGTTATGTTCGAGCTTGATCCTAATTTAATATTGTGGATTCACGTGTGATTTGGGTTTGAAGATCATAAGCCTGATTCGGGTTTGAGTCCATGTAATACTGAACCCGAACCAAACCTGAATCAAACATCGGAACCCTACTAATGCAATTAAAGAATAAATTACTTCTCAATATTATTTTCGCAATGATAAATTTTTTTTTGAATAATTCTTTTCACTGCTTAACATTAATACCTAAATATGATATTTATTACTAGATAATCTCTTATTTTAATTTTATACTGCATTTTTCGAATCTAACCACTATCTAGATCTTCTGTTTCGCGCGATGGTGTCGTGCAACTATCGAATCTAACCACTATCTAGATCTTCTGTTTCGCGCAATGGTGTCGCGCAACTATCTAGTTTAATAGTACAAAGGTACCAAATTCGAAAATTAAAATGATCGACACTATAAAACCAATTAAATTTCGGAATGAAATTAATTAATTTTCGCTCCCATGGCACTGGCAAATTTCACAACCTGACAATTGAATATGCGCAATTTTTAAAAAAGTTTAAAGTAATAAAACTTCATGCTATATTTAAATTTTTTTAAAATACAAATTTTATACAGAAAGACCTTCCTTCTTGAGGCCATAGTAAAAAATTTAAAATTGTACACTTAGAGGGTGTATATTTATAGGGTGCAAAACATATAGTGCTATTATAAGCTGGACCAGACTATTACTGTGCATTTAAAGAGATTCACATAGAGGGTGCATTTAGAGAGGTCTCTCTGTATTAAGATTAGTTTATCTGATATGCAAGATTTTGCATGAAAATTTTTTCGTTTTTTGTGTTATATAAACAAAATTGTAATCTGATTAGTTAATCACATCTAATGCGGTGATTTATTTTTAAATAAGTTAAACAAATAGGACACTTGAAGAACAGTTGGGTTGCTGTCAATAGAAGTCAAGCAGATTAACATTTAAAAAAAAAAATGAAACCCTTAAATTTCACAGCTCATATTTTCGATGAATTTTGAACCTAACTGAATGATCTGATAGTTAAAAGAAAGCTTAAATTAGAGATTGTACCTATCACCCGAGTATTAAAAATTTACCCGGTTACCCGGGTAATTTATGTCCCTTTTGACACTCAAATTCATGCAAAGTGACTTTTAAATTACTACAAAATGACGTTCCAAATTCGTACAAAGTGACTTTAAATTCGTACAAAAGGACATTGTAATTTAAGTGTTTAAATCGTGATATCTCACGATCTAGTGATCTGATTTGACTCATTGAGAGGATTCGAATGGTACCAAAATCATTCAAATATGATTACTAGACCAAAAGATATCACAATTTAAACAACTTAAATTAAAATGTCCTTTTGTCCGAATTTGAATGTCATTTAGTACGAATTTAAAAGTCACTTTGTATAAATTTGGTTGTCAAAAGGGATATAACCATGTATACCTGGGTACAATCTCTAGTTTGATCTTAAGTTTTTTTTTTTTTTTTTGAGTATTAAATCATCCAGATATAACTGTTCTTTAAACTTTCCGCTCTGTGACAGGTTATGCAGATCATGCGGCGCAGGTCCTATTACTAAATTCCGAAAATTTTCAAAATTTCTAGCGATGATTACTCAATTGCTACATGATCAAATTCAATGAAGATTATTCAGCACTTACATGGTCAAATTCGATCAAAATTTTTTTTTATTTTAATTATATGAGCTTATAGAATTTAAATAAAAAAAAAATGGTCAAATTTGATTAGGTAAGTGACGAGTAATCTTCGTTAAAATTTTAGACGCCTTAAAAAAGAAGCTGCGGCCAAATTTTTTAATTTTAATGAATATTTCTCGACAACATGCAATCCAAATTCGATCAAAATTTTTTTATTTTAATTCTATTAATTCAGAATTTAAATAAAAAAATTTTGGTCAAATTCTGATAGTTGGTTGTCGAGAAATTTTTGTTTAAATCAAACAAAAAAAAATTTACCCGAATTTAGTTTGTTTTCCGTTATTTTAAGTTTTTTTTTAATTTTATCGATGATTTCTCGATAACCACTGAACCAATTTCAATGGAATCTTTTTTATTTCAATTCTACAAATCTATTGAATTGAAATAAAAAAATTTTACTGAATTTGATCAAGTAGCTATTAAGTAATCATCGCTAGAAGGTTTGAAAAACTTTCAAATTTATAAATAGGATCTGCGCCGTAACAGTATGTTCAAACTACAAGATTCTTTTTATTACTTAATCAAAGTCTTTCATTCGTACCTTATTTGTTTATATTATGCATGTTCTTTAATTATCTAAATTTATTCCGAAATTCATTGGAATTCATTAGCCATTTAGATTATTTAACCATTTATAGTAGATCCATTCTATTCAGCAAACCCTTCATTCGTACCTTATTTGTTTATATTACGCATGTTCTTTAATTATCTAAATTTATTCCGAAATTCATTGGCCATTTAGATTATTTAACCATTTATAGTAGATTCATTCTATTCAGCTTAACCCGATGTAGCATATGAAAATATTATAACGAAAACAAATATGCATTAATTGTATAAATACGTAGTATGCAATTTTATCGTTATCAATCTAACGTAGAATTTAGGAATTAATTTAAATGATTATCATCAATAAATTAGGTGCGTATGTTCCTACCGGTACGTACTTACATACAGATTAACTTATTTTCGAGAATTTTGCGCAACAAAGGTTGTTAAATATTTGCAGTTGTTAATCAAAATATGCACCCTATTCATTATTAATATCTCTTCTCAAGGCCAAGAAAAGAAATTTAAGCATTTTGAATGTTAAATATTAATAAATCCTTTTTTTTTCTTTTTTTAACCTGATATTTTTTTAATCTTAATTACAGAATTACGCTACTCAAAAAATCTGATAAACGTAGCACAAAAAATCTGATAAGTATGTGTTACAGAAAATCTGATAAGTACGTACGTACGTACGTATCACAAAAAATCTGATAACTTTATCACGATGCGTCACCAAAAATCTGGTAATTGGTGTTACGTATTCTCCATTAGGTTTTTGTTTTACGACAATCACGTATTACAGCCACCCTTGGGACCATACTTTAATAACATGCATATAGAGAATACTAAGAAAGGGTGCATTTATAGAGGTCAAGTATATGTATGGGCCAGCACTTGAGCGTACATTTAGAGAGGGTGTGCACTTACAGTTAGAGAGGTTTGACTATATTATGAATTGATCCTAGTACAGTAGTAGTAGTATTCTTGTCGAAATTTACACACATCTGTTATTTAAAACAGGATAGTTTCACAAATTATTATATGAATGTGAATTAGTGGGTATCTTTGTAACGCGCTGACGGTAAGCTATATACAATTTTATTTTATATACGCTTGTATTTTTTTTCATGAAAATTCATTGATCAAAAATGATTTTAAAGAATATTTCATCTTTGGTCTTTCGTTTAGTTTTAATATTTTTATTACTTACAAATGTATCATTTTCATCCCAAAGGAACATTTCTCCGTACACTAAATCTTTAAACAAAAAGTTTATAATCTTACTATCTCTGAAGAAAAATTGGCTCCTGATGGTTTTACTCGAGAAATGTTCGCTATAAATGGTCAATTTCCTGATCGTCTAGTTGAAGTTAATAAAGGTGATACGTTAGTTTTCAATGTCTATAATGATTTAGATGATGAGACTTCGATCCATTCTCATGGAATATTTCAACGCGGGACTCCTTGGTATGATGGTGTTCCCTGGCATACTCAGTGTGGTATTCCATCAAAGAAAACCTTCACCTACGAATTTAAAGTTGATCAAAGTGGGACTTATTGGTAGTAAGTTATCTTTCTTTTTTTTTTCATAAATAATTACTCATATGAACTGACAAATATATGCTATATGACGTCAAAAAAACATTAACTTTTTTTTTTAAAAAAAAAACAGCCACTCGCATTCAAAAGCACAATATATAGATGGAATTGTTGGTCCCCTTATAAATTGTAGTATTGTTACAAGATTGGTACCATACTGATGCCAAAACCTTGTTGCCTCAATTCTTGAGTCCTGCAAGTCAAGGTAATGAACCAATACCCGTTAATAGTCTTATTAATGGAAAGAACTCTTGTAATTGTTCTTGGGCATCAGAAGGCAGCAATTGCGTTAGTACTGCATCATTGGTAAAATTTAAATTTGTTCAAGGAAAGAAATACAGAATTAGAATTATTAATACAAGGTTAAAAAAATTGTTTTTTAATTATCGGCATAGTTTATTTATTTATTAATATTAATTACTTATTTAATTATTAATAGTGCTTTCACAGAATTTATCCTTTCAATTGATGAGCATCCTATGGATGTTATTGAAGTTGAAGGGATGATGACAAAGCGTCAAACAATCCACCGCCTCCCAATTAATGTAGCTCAACGCTATTCAGTTATTGTGAACCTATAGGAAAATATTGGATGCGTGCAGAAATGGAAACTGCTTGTTTTACCAATGAACCTGATACACTAAATTCTCTCGTAAAAGCTATTGTTGAATATGAAGATTGTGACGATAATTATAATACAAATTCGACTGCTTGGACTGATAGTCAAGAAAATTGTATTGATTTGGATACATCAAGTTTAATACCTTATCAAGAACAAACTATTCCAAATGTTGACTATAAGTTAACGTTAATGTCAGTTTTTATCCAGATGCTACAGGTATTGTCAGAGCATACATAAATGATTCAAGCTATGTAATAGATGGACAATACCCTACACTTCAGAAAGTATATGATAATGTAACGAAATTTGCAACTGATCAAAATGTTTACATAATTGATAAAGATGAAGTTGTCGATATTATTTTGTTAAGTAAGAATCATATAAAAACAAATTTCTTTATTTTTATAAATATTCTAATTCATTTATATATTATTATTATTATTTAAATTCGTGAATTTAGACAGTGACACTGGTGAACATCCATTCCATCTGGTATATAAAATACACTTGAAAAAGAAATACTATTTAATATTACTTAACTACTACTAATAATAAGAAATTGGTTGAAATTAATACTAGCACGGTCATGTATTCTGGTTACTTGGTGTCGGTAAAAATGGTACAAGTCCAGATTATGATTCTGTAAATACTAAAAATCCGATACAACGTGATACTGCATCTGTTCTTGCTGGAGGGTACATTAATAATTAGTTTCTTATTTTGAATCTAGCAGATTTTATTAATAAATCTTTTTATTTTCTTTTATCAGATGGCTTATCGCTCGATTTGTGTCAAATAATCCTGGCGTATGGGGATATCACTGTCATATCGAGGTAATTTAATAATCTTCATAACCATTTCAACATTATTCACAAATGTATTGATATTAAATTATGTTTTTAGTGGCATGTGCAATCGGGTTTAGTTATGGCATTCGTCGCGCAACCGGATAAAATTAAAAAATTAAAAGCACCTGACGATTGGAAAGAATTGTGTAAATAATAAATGGTAAATAGTAAGCTCGATCAATTGGTTTAATGTGTAATAAAATTTAAAAATCGTATTAGTACACGTACTTAATGTATAGTAAAATGATTTTTAAGGCTATTTTGTTAACCAACTTAATTATATCTATTAACTATCTTTAGTTTTTAATCAACCAACTAATTAAGCTATTGTATCTTTACTTTGTCAGTAAAATGTTGTCGGTGAAATAATTGTCGGTGAAATGAACTTGTCTGTGAAATAATCGTCGGTGAGCTAAGCTGTCAGTGAAGTAATTGTCGGCGAAATGCATACCACCCAAGTGTTCCCAGTAAAGTGTATTTAGAGATATTCAAAAATATCTTTTACTATATTTAGTCTATAAGTATAACAATCGTTTATTGTATATTGACAATAAAGTTGGCTTTCAGATTATTCTAAAATAAAAAGATTTGTTATTGGATGTTCTTAAATTGTTAAATTGTCCCAAATTATTCTAAGTTGCCCTATATTTTTACTAGCGTAATACACTTTTAAAACACACTTCGCTTCAAGCTACAGTTCTACAATGTAGTTTACCATATTAATGTAATAGTAAAGCAAGTTATAGGTGATGATGAAATAATTATGGCTGGTCATTAATATAAAGAAATTGGGTATTAAAAAGTATAAACTCAAAGCATTCGAATATTATAAAAATCTGATAGTAGTTTAATTATAAACTTTAACAAGATAACATATAATTATAATTATCTAACTATAATTTGATTTTATGGAGATATATATTAAAATTAGTTAATTAATGTGCATAATTATATTCTCAAATTCTATTCAAGAAACAGTTGGTAAGGATATTTAATAATACCCAAATCTTAAAGGTGGCAATAATAACCGAATCCGATTTGTCACTCTCTATAGTTTACTGATTAAATATTTGCTAAAATATCAATATTAAATCATCTTTCTTTCATTTAAATCCCTAAATAAAGACAATTTTACATAACGATAACTGTTGCAAAAAAAAAAATCATTAATTACCCTATACCAGTAATTATTTCATTTATTCTGATTTAAAATTTGAAATGAAATAATAAATACTTTGAATTCATTTATGATATCAAAATTATATTTTGTAAAATTTAATTTTAAGGATTTAATTTTATTATTTTAATAGTAGTAATTATGCCATTCTCAAGCACCTCACTCAATGGATCAGATATAAATTTTTAATTAGTCTCAGAAATTAAATAAATCAATCAAGCGAGTTACCAATTCAATCAACAAATCAATGAGATACAAACCACTTTTTTTCTCTAAAAATTTACTATGATAAAGATCGCTCAAGCACTACTTTTACTTTTGACATATTAAATATAATAAACAATGAATTCACAACAAATTTCTAACTAGTTTATAAAAATAGCCACTTTATTTTTAATACTCAAAGCTTTTACACCAAATAATCGACACCTTGATATGAATGTAATTAATGCTATTGTCACGGTTCCCGTGACTTACGATCGGGAGGAGGCTTATTTGGATTTTTTATTATTTTCTTTCTTTATTTTTATTTATTTATTTATTTATGTATTTATTATTTATTATTTTCGATATTTTGGGTAAAT